TTCACTTTGATAAAAAATCGTCTCCTATGGTTGGCTGAGTCAAGCTGGAATCGATTTGGGTTATTTAGATTCTAAATAACATAAATCACTCACTCTTGTTGATGATTGAAAATTACCAATTCAATTTCAATTACTAGGTATGGCCCAGAAGGCAGTGGTGGCTGTTCACTTTGGTGATGGGTTAAAAGCAGAGGTCACATTTGGTTGTGTGAAGTGGTGTGCTGTGTCACAATGACAAGGAGTTCACTTTCCTTTCTATAGTACGGTGTGGCTTTTGTATGAAAAGAATATATGTCTCCACTACAATTGGCAAATTAATCTAAATCTTATCAACACCAAAATATTTGTCGAGAAGTGTTCATTATGGATGAAGGACTAGTTGCCATTGAAAGATACTCAAGAAGTAACAGACTCAACTTTAAGGGCATTGGTCATGATAAAGGTTTTATCCTATGAAGCTTCACAAAATAAAGGTTATCAGATGGCTATTCACAAACTTCTCTATTTGAGAAATAGTATCAAGAAGTTCAAAAGAAGAAGTTCCAAGAAGCTCAAATGTTTGTTTTTTTAGCTGCTTGATTAAAACTGATTCCACAGACCATATGTATGTACATACAGTTCACATGTTCCCTAATTTACAACCTGGTGTTGAGGCAGAAGTGATCAGAAGTATGATTTTTTTCCCAGGGTCAGCCAAGGTTAATGGCTGTTGAAGCTTTGTAGCTTTCAGACACAGACAAAGCCTAACATATAATAATTGCAGTTGTCTTTTTGTTTTGTTTTAATTCTGCAGTAATAATGTTGTGTTTCCATGCAGTTTCAATTTTGAATTAATGCAAATAGACCTATTGGTATAATATTTCATTTCATTATCCAATAAAAATTAATAATAAAAGGCAATATTGGAAGCCAAATTCACTGTAAATGCCAACAATTACCTGACTAGATATCAAATACTGTATTTAACTAAATTCATACTAGTTTTACTTCTTTAATACATGTTTTGTGGTATGACTCTCAAGTTGTGGTATGAAGTTATGGAACACTGCACTCCAGTTGCTCTCCAAATTCTATTACCACACATTTACCACTTAAGGCAAACTCATGCAAGTGGTAGAAGCCAAACACAGCTGCAGGCCATTCTTCACAGAATGCTGGCTAATGTCAAGTTCGGTAAGTAAAAAGCTTTTAAATCTTTAAAGTTTTTAATATCATTTAATTCATCAAACAGAGCGCATGTTCAGTTCACTGATCATTGAGACATGCCTTTTACAATTTGTTTGTTGGTTTTAGTGTTTAGTGTTACTCCCAGTCTGTGGCTTCATGGAATTGAGTTTTCAGGTGACATGGAACTCTTTGTAAGGTGTATAGAAAGGATGAGTGTTGTTGGCTGAAATGAGTGTCAAGACATGAGACATGATTGGCATCTTATGGGGCTAATGCCTATTTGGGCCCTGTCTTTTTATAAATCTTTTGGGTTATGTAACTCAAACCATAAAAGGTTAAAGGAATACAAACGTTTAACTCACTACAAACGTGCACTCAATTTAAACAATGTAAAGTCAACAAAAATAAAGAAACTATGAAATAAATGGTGTAGAGTAAAATGAATGAATTGTTTGAAGTGTTGTCTGGAAAACAAAAGCTAAACAACGTCACCAACATAAAGGATGAGAGTTAACCATATCACCAAGGTCTTGTGAATGTGTGGCCTTGGCCTTCACTCCAGCTGATATTAAGACCAAGAATATGAGACACTTTAAAATTCTGAATCAGATTTATTAGGTACAGGTCTGACCTGTGACATATCTTTGACCATTTCACACAAGAGGCCAATAGGAAAACACAGGAAGGAATTATACAGAAAACCAGGAGCTTTTACTAAGAGAATTAGTAGTGCAAGAACCAAAACCGGGAAAGAAAAACCTTTTGTTAGCTGCACTAGTGTACGTTTTCAAAATGCTTTTGATGTGTGTGAAAATCAGTAGGCTGTGGTTAAGTTAAATTAAATTAGTAAATCAGGAAAATACAGTACTTTTAACAATTTTTGTCTTGAAAAAATACATTGCCTTGCTGTAATATTTATTAACATTCAGTACCGTGATTTTTGCATTTATTTCCCACAAAAAACAGTTTTTCACAGTTAAATATATTTACTGTTGTGGGTCATACATTTTTTTACAATTCAATACTGTAATTTTTGCATTCTTTTTGCAAAAATAATGCAGTTTCACAGTTAAATATACACACTGGTGTGCTGACAACAGAATCATGACATATTTAGATGTGATTCTTGCATTTATTTCAAAATATACTTTGTACCTGTCAAATTGATGTACTTTGGTGTTAAATACAGACAAATACTTTAATACTTATGACAACTACAACATATTTTTTTTAGATATGATAATATATGTATGTTAATAAAGACTTTTTTTAAAATATAAATACTTATTATAACGTCTGGTCGAGCGTTACAATGACGACGAGGCGTTCGTCTCAGACAGGTCTTTTATTGAAAAACCTTAACAGTTACTGTCGGCTGTAACTACGCCACATAACAACAATGACTTCTCTACATGCTCTTCTTTCCTTCCACTGGCTCCTCACTCCGTCACATACACACAGACTCACTCGCACCCAATCACAGACCTACCTATATACGTGCGTCCACTGACAGTCTGGAATCACAGGAGTTAACATTACAGAGAACCGGTCTATTTCACTATACATGAGTTACATTAACAATTTACCTTTCAAATGTTTAACCTCATATGTTAGAGAGAGTCGGGCGACAGAGCAAGACATTGGCAGCTTCTTTGTTCAGAGGTTTTCAAAAGCACCATCTCCATCGATAGTGCATTTGATGGTAACGCGCCTGAATTCCAAACAGACCAATCAGCGCACTCCATCTGACCACCTCGACCATTAACGGATTTCCAAAGAGTTTTCTGCAGTTGCCTCGGTAAGTATATTTATAAAACTCTGACTAAACTGCAATTATTCGTTTAATCGAGAGGGCTACATTGCAGACAGCTGACGTTAAGTCAACATCCCGACAGTCTTACGACTAGCTGAACTGTTATAACAGCATAGGAAAGGACTGTATCATGTAGGCTTAAGGAAAATGTGGCTCGCGTTTTATCGCGCTAACGCTGGCATGTTGAAGCCTCTGACTAGCTAACTATACTGCTCGACGTGTTGATTGATTTGTACATTGAAATATATTCTTATAACATATAACATGTGGAGAAAACGTCAAATCTGTAAAAGCATATACTTTGCATTGCAAACTCCACCGCAATGAACCCTGACGTTTTTTCAACTGTGTAGCAACAAATTGTAAGCAAGTGCTTTCGAGTTATGCAGCTTTAAAATCGCATTTCTATCGCCACCATAACAGTACATCGACAATTGATCAGGACGTGACTTTAATGCCATTAAAATGCACAGTCTCACTTTGTGAACGCCAGTGAGTACCATTGACTTTCTGTTGTCATTTAATTTAATTTTTTTATTATTTTTTTTATTCCTAGGGTCCTCCTGCATTGGTGCTGAGACATTTATATTGAGCTTTGACTGAGAAGTTGTCAACAACCACATCACTTTCTTCACATCTGCCTGATGTTTGGCAGTTACTACTGCTTCAACATACACTACCTGGTAAAACTACAGTCCACACTTGAGTTCCTCCAACGGTAAAAATTGAATTATTTATCATTATTAGAATTACAAATAGTTCCTAGCATACCCTGCATGCAGTAATACTGAGTAAACACTCGGTCTTTTCCTTTCTTTCTTTTTTAAAGGTGTTTCTTTTCAATAAATCCTGGAAGAAGAGTAAAAAAGTGTTATTGGTCAGTCCCAGAGTCTTGACACTGATCTCAGACCTTGCCAACAATGAGTGGACCTACCAGTGATGTTGAGGGATGATGTGATAAAAGGTACATTTGATATGATATACACTGCAGATATTTTGTTATTAAAGGTGTGTACCTATTAAATCTGTCCACTCATTTTGCTCACTGCAATCATTTTAAAACTAATTTTGTTCTAACTCTTTCTCTCTCTCTCATGGAGTTTGTTCTCATCTACAGAGGCACCAAAGTTGAGTGTAAAAAGAAGAAAATAATCGCTGGCTTTTTCACACTGTTACAGTTTGTAAGAGTGTTTTTACATTTTTACTGCAGTTTATTGTGCTGGCAAAGTTGGAAAAGTTTGGACTTCAAATAAAGAGTTTGTATTGAAAAGTACTACAGTGAATGTTTTTTTGTGATTTTTGGAACATTAACTAATTTAACAATATTAATTAATGTGCTGTGTATGAAGTTTACAGAAAAAAAGTAGGGCTGCACTACATAACGATTAAAAATGCACATCTTACATTTCCAGTATCACGCATTTACTGTAATTTTTAGGGAAATTTCTGTTTGGACCTTAATATTTGTAAGAATCTATGGTATCTTTTACAGAATAAATTTGTAGCCTACAATTTATACCGTTAATTGTACAGAAAGGAATCAAGCACACTTTTTAACTGTAAAAAGCCGTAAATTAACCACTGCTGCTGGCATTGTACTGTCAAAATAAAAATATTCCCATGTCAATTTTAAATTAAAACAATGTATTTTTCACACAATAGAACTTTTTACAGTAAAATACTGAAATACAAACATTTTTACCGTAAATGAAGAAACTGTTTTATTGTAATTTTACGGCACTTTTTAGGCAACCACGGCTGGTGGTACTTTACTGTAAAAACAGCAATTTTTTTACAGTGTATGTCAACATATTCAGAAGGCATTATTTCATGTGTAACTTTGTGGATGATTACCTTCCTCTGTGGCCATAGTCACAGCAAGTGTAGGATCTCCCCATTCCTCTCTGCTCTGACCAGCCTGGTCAGATTTGTTGGATTTTCTCTATTGTCTCCCTTTTCTTTGTTTCAAAATGTGTAAGCATGAGTGTGGATTAACTGTGCCCAACTTTCCTTGGCTTTTCTCCAGAACCAGTGGAGAACGGATCTCCACCGTTTTGTATAAAAGTGACTTTGAAGAAAGGTAAGCACAGCCTGCTGCTATGTATCTCCAACATTTCTACCTTCTTCTGTATATCTTTTCCCTGCTTTGTTTTTCTATAGATCAGTCTTATCTGCCCACATCCTTAAACATTAATTGTAATTAAAAAGTGATCCCGTGCCCCCTCTACCTACCCAAAGGTTCAGGCTGTTTTGAACCTCACTCGTTTTAAAAATGAGCTACAGAACCCTGAATTGCCCAGAGGTGCCAAAGAACTGTCCTTACACAGGGTGATTTATAGGATACTGAGGCCAAATATGCATACCCCTCTGTGTAACCTCTGGTGACCACTTGTTGATCCCAACTCTCCTAGCTCTCCAGAATTTCTTGTCAAACAACAAAGTCGTACAGAAAAAATGTCACTGTTGCGGTTCATTGGAAAAAATAGAACTTGAAACACCTGAGCACTTATAATACCTGTTATAAAATGTCTGTTTATGGGATTTTCATTGTACATTAGTGCTGAGGCAAGCGCTGACTGCATGTATTGGTTTCAAAGCAGTGACTACTACATACATGTCCATGTGGCTGTCATCTGTAATAAATAATCGACCAATAATTGCAGGACCACAGCACTTTCTCAGTTAACGATCTAAAATGTGTCTGAGACTCCGGATGTTTATTGAAGAAACTGTTTAGCCTTATGATGAACTAGAAATCAGCTCTACGACCGTTCAAGGGCACAAAGTGAAAAGACAAACGTCTAACAGGTCAGATAAAGAAAAAGGTGCTCTTTATCAGAAACAAACAGCTTTCTTTTGCTATGAAGGATACAGTTACACAAATATGGATAATGTGAATAAAGATATGTGCCTCTAAAGCCAGCACGTGATAAAGGCTGCACATGCACAAGCATTATATGCCCAGAAAAGACAGACGTAAATTAAGTGCAGTACTGGTAATCACCCATTGATTCAGGAACAAACCTTTGGCTGAGAGGAAAGCTTATCTAACCTGCTTCAAGTGTTGGGTTGTGGGCAAGTAGTCTAGCCAAAGTAAGTGGGAATGTTCAATGCAGAGAGTGTAAGGGCAACAGCAACAGGTCTCTGGCAAGAACGGAGTTCTGGAATGGACCTGTTCCAGAGTTGTTGAAACTAGGGTGACAAGCCAACAACTTCATCATTTACTCACCTCTGCCATGCTGTTAACACAGAATACGGTAAGTGTATTTATGTTTGTTCCCACAAGACATCTGTGAGGATTGAGGATCTTTACAGAACTACAAATATTTGCTGATTCACTTTGGAAGCGATGGCTGGAGTATCTAGCTGTACTCTAGTCCAGAAGGAAAAGCATGCAGTCCAGCCCTAAATGCATATTAGAGAAGAAGTCTGCACAGTTCTCCTAAGTAACGTACATGAGACGTACTCTTGGGTTTTGACTTTTTTCTAAAGAGTAACAAACCCAAACATTATACTTAACTAACTCAGAATTACTCATCATTAAGTTGTGTGATACTCTAAAACATGTTAATGTGATGTTGTTTTTGTTGTTTGTATTTGACCCGCCAGCAACTACGGATGTCTAATTCTGACATATTTACCTTTTTACATTGCGTTGCTCATTAATGTGCACTGTTATAGTGTTACTTGTAGTCTCATTATTATGATTCTGTCTCATAATAATAACATGCCATCTCATTATTTTGAGAACAATGTCCAATAATAAAATTCAAAAACTGTGTTGGTTGCATTGGAATTAGATATTATTCTTGCTACTCGTTCACCTTAGTGTATGAATAATTTCCATCTCCTACAATCACAACCAGACTAAGAATTAAATTAAGCAGGGTCATAATCAGATTAATTCATTGTTTTAATATTACTACTAGAGAAGTGTAAAAATATAGGGAGCTTTGCTGTGCTCCTCCTTTCATTTCATAGTTACAAAGGCACCAGAGAATTGATGACAATGGTTTTACCCCCAGACAGAACTGTGTCATCTGGGAATGGCTAACAAATGGCAGAGACGTTGTCTTTTTTTATCAGCTTCACAGCGCGTCAAGGTTAAGGGGAACAAAATCTACAAAGGCCAACGTAGAAGCACCACACCTGGCTAAGCCATGCTCATAGGAACACTGTGGCTTTCAGATTCTGCTGTAACACCTGGCAGCAGGAGTAAGAGAAAGAAGTGGGAGTGTGCTCGCACAGCTGCACAGTCAGTTCCAGCCTTGACTCCTGTCCCAGCTGAAGTTTCTACTCCACACCAACACACAATGAACATTTGATTCAGACAGTTAACTGTAATTTTATTAACTTAAGTTTTTTTTATTCATCATCCTGCATTTGCAGCAACTTGTCCTTTGGGTTGGGGACATGGACATCCGACTTACGACATGTTAATCAATCTCCATTTATTACTTGGTAAACCGAAGGAAAATTTTTTTATTAAAGCCAAATCAATGAAGATAAATCCTCCACACAGAGGCAAACACAAGTTGAGTTTTCCCAACTTTAGTACAGCTTTAAGATAGAGGTACTCCACACGCAGTTTGCTACTTTGCACCGACCAGGCAAACAATGAACTTTTACTTTTACTTCCTGTACATAAATTGTGTTCTAGAAACTGATAGTGAGGGTGGAAATATTCTTTGTTTTATTCAACATTTACCATTCTTATTCTCTCTGTTTTGGCTTAATGTGACACATTAATTCAAATTTTCTGTAGAACTGTAAGAAATGTGCACCTTAGTCACTTCAAAGGACTGAATGAATGATGACATCAAATTTTTTTTTCTTTTCTGCATGTTGTCTTGTCCAATTAGAGCATATTGAGAATTTTTTGAAAAAAGGATTTTGGGTGAAATTTTCAACTTATACAGTGGTTTCTACAGATAATAAAATAAAATGCATATTATCAGGCTCTCAAAAGTATTTCAACTACAGAGGGCATGGAAAAAATTCTGTCCTGTAGAAGGGGCATGACAGAACATAATTGAGAACCACTGTACTCAAGAAATCATACCATCTCCAGGCACGTACATATGCCTAAATGACAGCAGACCTGTGGCTGCACTATAGCCACGTCACACTTGTCATCTTGTAACCCTGTAAACATGAAGACGATCGCCACCTTGCGCAGTCAGTGAATCCAGACATTCACGAGGGCTGACTGTTGTGAAAATAGTTTGCAAAGAACAAGAAAGTCACTGCAACCGTGTACGCCATGAAAGTACCAAGGCACAGAGACCATCAACTCACGTTTATGTCAACGCACCTTGGTTTCCTGGAGAGTGAGAACAACGATCAGTGTAACTTTGTTTTTCTGTGTGAAAAGTCCATCTAACAGAAGGTTAAAACGGAGCACAAATTCCTAAAATAGCGTATACATTTAAACTGATGTTTTTTTAGGGTTGCCTCTTTGTAGGTGGCTAAAATATGGGTTGCTGCTGACTGCTGTCTGTGTGTGATATTACTACCTCATACAACCCCACTTATTACCATGTTTAAGATTCTTCTCTACTCAAGATAGTCCACTATAACAATACACAGCCTAAAATCAATCATTTTGGTGTCGCAAAATTCATCAATTTAATGCCAGACTTGTTGATATTGCTGCAGAGCATTTACTTAATATATGCACTTTTTCTAACCAGGAAAATCTTCTGGCTAAAAAAATTTGAAGAGAAACTGCAAGAGAAATCAAATATTATACACAACGGTAAGATCAAAAACTCCAACGGGCCTTGGATCCTGTCTGCCACGTATATCATGCCCCAACATATCCATGTTGATGTTAGCAGCAGGGTCCAGAACCTTGACTGGATGACATCTGATGTGTTATCATAGGCAGGAAGATGGTGGTGGTGGTGGTGGTCTGTGTGTGTGCGTGCGTGTGTGCAAGGAGGTCGGGGGGCACATGGTTGAAAGCAGCCTGATCAACCTTGAGGAGATAAAGTATTGCTTCTTGTATCTCCAGCCAGTATGTCACTGTGTGCGTAAAGGGGGTATTTGTGGTGTTCCATGAAGAGGTTCCAGAGTGAAACTTCAGATAATAATGCAATACTATCAAGTAATCATTAAACTCACTTTAAAAGTCAGCCAATGTGAGATTGATGATGTCATTCATGCCATGTTGTTTTGCAATCCTAGTTTTCATAGAAATACTGCAGAAGATTGTAATATTCTATAGCAGGGGTGTCACTTATTTGATTCATTCAAAGAAAACCCTGTCATATCCATTCACTTTCTTTATTTAAAGTTATTCTTGCAATATTTTAAAATAATAGGTCATTCAGGCTCTGATACAACCAGAATAGAGTCTAGTAGATGTTTTATTTTGAAAATGTAACGATCCTTCAATGCTCAGTAGTGATGTTCGATACCACCAATTTCTTTTCCGATCCGATACCGGTAGTAACATTTGGGCTGGTATCGCCGATACCGATATCGATACCGATATTTTATCATTTGTCTTTTAAATTAAAAAAAGTGTATTTCACATGAAATTCAGATGGATATTTTTATCTTGATCTTGTGTATTTTTACTGTAAACAGTTTATGGTAGTAGTAGAATTATATTATAATAGTACTACTAGTATTTTACCTGAGTATTTTACCTGAGTGCTGCTTTTATTTTTATTCAATTAACCTAACCTGTTCCGATGGGTCTCTGTTTTTGTATTCATAATATATTTTTACAGAGGTTAACTAAAGATGAATGAATAAATTAAGCCATTCATTGAATAGGCATTTGTTAGTCTTTAATTTTTACATTTCTAATTCATTATTCACCAAAACATGTTATTTGTAAAACAAAAATAAAAAATAAAATAAAATAAATAATCTGAGGAGCCATTTGGGATACGAAAGAGTCAGATTTTTTCAGTGAACCGAGCCAAAAGAACCGGTTCTCTAAAAAAGAGCCGAAATTCTCATCAATAGTGACTGAGTGAGAGCACGGAGTAGAGCACCCTGTGCTTACGCCTGACGCACACACCCAGGCGGAAGAAGAAGTAGTCCCACCAACCGAGCGTCACTTAGACAACATCTCAATAATTTGGATACTTTTCACCATGTTTCTGTTTAGGATACACCTCAGCTCAGAATGCGTAATCGATATTTTGATTTCAGAATCGATTTCAGACCATAAAGATCCAGAATCGGAAGTATCGATATTTCAGGATCGATCCGCACATCACTAATGCTCAGCACCTTGGTACCAGTCTGTAGTACTGCGTGGTACTGGCTGACCAGTCCTTGGAACCAAAATGGATGGTGGCCACTGGTATAGATGTAATTACTCCATAACAGACTAGTACCGGTACATGTTTCTTCTTCTTCTTTTTCTTTTGGCTTTGTCCCTTTTTTCAGGGGTTGCCACAGCTAAACATTGATTTCCATCTCTCCCTGTTCTCTGTATCTTCTACTCTGACTCCAACTATCTGCATGTCCTCCCTCACTGCATCCATATATCTCCTCTTTGGCCTTCCTCTTTGTCTCCTACCTGGTAGCTCCATCTCTAACATTCTTCTACCAATGTATCCACTGTCCCTCC